GCGGCAAGACTTATCAGTGGCGCTAATGATGGAAACTATGATGAATATTTCCATCAAAGGCAACTATAAGCCTATATTTAGGGTCAAGTGAAGAGGTTTGACCAGTTTCAAACCAGAATCATTGAAGCCCTGTTTCCTGTGAATCACAATTATCCTATACTGATTCAATCATTTATGTCATCCATGAAATTAATTTTGATGGTGTAGCAGGTGTGGCTTTTGATTCTTGGTTTTAGAAGTATGAAGATTTGTTTTGTATTGATCTTTGCAAAATTTGATGACCCCTCAAAATTCAGAATAATTCTCAGAAAACTTGGGATTTTGGAACATGAACGCTATAGCAACTTCATTCTCCTAAATAATCTACGAGACTTTAGTTTTGATGAAACAGTAAAAATCCTTACTCAAATCTTTGGAGAACAATCATCTCTATTTAATATCCTTTATCAATGCTTGAGGATAACAAAAGAACCAGGAGATGACTGGGTGAAACATGCAGGAATTGAGAACCAAGAATGTGAGAGGTTCAAACTGTCTTCCATGACTGAAGACCAGTTTAAGTGCCTAGTAATTATCTGTAGCCTGCGTTCACTCGAGGATGCTGACATCCAAACGAGAATCCTAAGCATTCTGGAACACTGCCTCAATATAACGCTGCAGGAAGTAGCTACTGAATGCCAAAGGTTAGTGGATCTGAAGCATGATGTCTCGATGGTAGAGAACGGCAACGGTTCCTTCATGTCAATGCAGTCGAGAAAAAGTCTAATGAGGTTCCAGCACTCAGAATTACGTAATGACAGAAACAAACTATCACCACCATGCTGTTTATGTGGCGGTCAGCACTCCAAAAGGATTTGTCCGTTTGGAAATCATCGTTGTATTATGCGTTGCAGAGAAGGGCACAACGAAAAGCTTTTCGGAATCCGAAAACGCCGTCAACTGAAAGTATATTCTAAGAGATTCAAGCCACAAGCAGCTGATGTAACGGTAGCTCTTCATAAAGCTGGCTCCCATAACCGTAGAAAGTACGTTTCTCTTAAAACCTAATCGGTATAATGCCCGCTTACAGTTAGATTCAGCCTCCAATATAACGCTTCAGCTGGTATATTGTCGGGTCCGGCTGCTGTCCCGTTTCTGATTTGTCTGATGGCTATTCTGATTTCTTCAGTCGTTGATGGATTGACATCTGTGTGCTGCTTTGATGTCCGGCGGATTCATTGGAGCCGATTTTTTCAGGATTTCCTAGAAGTACTCTACCCATCTGTTTCGCTGTTGTTGAATTTCAGTGATTGACCTTCCTTCTTTTCCCTTGAATGATCTCTCCGATTTACTGTATTTCCCTGCTAGTTTCTTCGTTGTATCGTGAAGCTTTTTCATATTTCCTTCTCTACCAGCTTTTTTCGCCGTCGCTGCTAGTCACATTATAAATTTCAATTCAAAATTATTCTTCTACATAGTGTTAATTTTGGCAGCAGGCTTCGGAGTTTTAATTTTTAAACATTAGTTTAGCCAACAACTACCCGATATTTTCGTTATTATTTTAGTGCATCATGATAGTACCTACAATTCGTGACTTTATTGTCTGAACTACGTTTGTATTTATAGGCTACTGATATGACAGATCAATTCACAAACCCAAATAAATGTAGCAATTATGGCCATGATCGGTTCATTGAAAAAATGATAAAGACGACTCAAATGGTTTTTAAACACAAGAGACATAGGGGTTTAATGCAACACACGTACGGACCAGGTTAACATGCAGGTTGATGAGGTATATGGCAATTTAAAAGTAGTAAACATGGTCAGAAACATAATTTCAAAGCTAGGGAAACTTATGGAACTGGAAGTAGGAGTATGACGAGTTAGAAAATTTACATAAGAAATTCCTGCATTTAGCCTAGTGACATTGACAAACGTGTCACAAAAGTGACTAGAACTTAGAAATGTCTTTAAATGACACACGTTTTCTTGATAACATGATGTAGTACAAAATTAATAAATATTTCTTCTACCAGAAAGTCTTGGGAGTGGATCGTATGAAATATATACAACCAGTCTAACGTAGAAAAATTTTACGGAAGTTAAGAAGTGCTAAAAACATAGGTAATTAACCAGGATAGGGAAAAAAAGTAAAACTCGTCTGGGTTATTTTTGCTTCCTGGTTATGAAAATTTGAATGAGACGATAGCCCAAATCTCAATTGTATACGAGGTACTGTTGATTAAATTCTTCGATTAACACAGCATTGTAGAGTAAATTAGTATAAGTCCAAAATTAATTGAAGACGAATACGTAGCATTTCCAGATGAACAGCCCAAACGAGATCTAAGATTGCAAATTATTTATACTTCAAACTCAGCATATATTTTCAGTATCGAGCACTTCTCACCCTTTTTCTTCCTTGAGAGAAGGTAGCAACGCTTCAGATGCTGGTTGTCCGAAGGAAACACCTAAACGCTGTCACACCCCCCTACAGTCAGCAATACGACTTCGCCCTCAGACCTTAAGTTGCTGCTTTTGATTTTAATGTTCATTAATCGAATTCCGTGGCATAGTAGAACCCACAGGAACATATGTTTCAGCCAATAGAGTTCGGTCGATTCATCACATTAGGCAAACCTGTCTACCAAGTCCAGGTAGCAGCTTTGGTCAAAATACCACTCCAAAAATATTGGAGAACATGTCAGTGATATTGTTGCGCTATTTACAATTTCATACGCGTGACCAGTCATTCGGTACAATCTATTTTCATAAGAGAGCGATTAGAATTTCATACTTAACTGGCAATTTATAATTCACAGACATACTACAGAAATTTCGCGGTTCACATTTTCATTCATAACTTGTGAACGAATTAATATGTTTCGATGATGCGTACTTTGTGTTACTTAACTGATTGAGTATTGCTTATGATTTATAATATGTACACGTACATTATGATTTGCGTTTGATGATTTACACCAGCTCTCATTCTCCATGTTATATAAGGATACTACCCCTTACACAGGGTGTGAAGTAGAAAAACTGAGGATTTCGCAAATGCGATAAAAATGATCTTGGTGGTCTTGTAAGAGTATTCCGACACCAGACAACGGATTTTAGGCGTTATGAGGTTTTGAGTTATGTAACCTATAAGACGTTGAGACTACGGGGAAGCATTTGATAGCATGGTCGGGACAGCGCAATGGAGGCTTCTTCAACACCAGCAAGGGAAGCGAAATAGATGAACGTCAATAAAAACACATTATGTCAGGAAATAAAGACGGATATGAAAAAGATGAATAACAACTGGAAAGAGCGAGAACGGATCATCCAGGACAAGGTTGGATAGAGAATGCTGGTTAGCGGTCTCCAGGAGGAGTGACAGGCGTAAGAAACCCATAAGACGTTGAGACTAGGAGGTCTGGTTCAATACCTGTTTCGTAAGTGACAAATTGTAGGGCTTGTCTGGTATTAAGTCTACTATCGCATGTAACTTAGATAGCACATCATCAATTATGGTAAGATCTGAGTCGAGTAGTGTGTTGGCGAAGCATGCCCATCCACATTTACTTGTGTTAAGCTTCAGCTTCCATTTTCAGCACCACTTCGCTACCTTGTAAATCTTCACGCTGATGAAATATTGCATAATGTTCAGCTCATGAGGAGAAAAATGAATACAATACTTCAAGATCATCTGCGGCGAGAAGGGACGTACAAACACAAAACATACACGAATGTCATTGATGAAAATAAAAAGAGCAGAAGTTTATGACACTACCTCGTATTACACCACTCATGACATCGGCAGCGTTCGAGGAAGAAGAGTTAATTTTGACTATTTGGTGTCGCTGTCTGAGGAAGAAATAAATCCAAGCAAGCAGAGGGATTTGGAACCCGTAATATGCAACTTTATCTATAAAAGTTGATAGCTGATAATGTTGAAGGCTTTAGAAACATCAAAGTTTAGCACTAAGACTAGATATTCTCGGTTCCATGGAGAAAAGTACAAATAAAGAAGTCAAAGCTCTATGTCATACAAGATGGATTTTAAAAATCCATGTTAAGAATCACTGACAAATTTTCCAGCGAGCAAGTGGTTAGATACTCCGTCACCAACAATTTTCTCCAAAATCCTAGAGGTACATCGAATAATGTTCATTGGCCGGCAA